GGTGGGGGGGGGGGGCATGGAGGGAATTTGTTTCTTAGGACAGGCTCTGAATCAGAGGATAAGTGTCATGGAGTTCGTCCTGGGGAAGAGTGTGGAAAAGGAAGTGGACAAATGTGGGGTTTGGTGTGAGGTGGTGGTCCACACCTGACTGGTGCCCAGCTTCTGATGCAGTGACGATTGCTGGGTGTTTCCATTTAGCTAGATCAGTGTGCCCAACAGATGGTCCAAGGGCCAGATCAGCACCCTCCTTACCCCCTGCCTTCCTGGATTTCCCCAGGTGGCACAGGTAAAGCAGCAGTGACATCGTGCAGCAACTTAAGCCCTGGACAGAGCTCTCCAAAGCTCTCACCGAGACCTTCATTAACCATCCATACTCATATGGGCCAAGAGGGCAGAGAGGGTGACTCTGCCCCCAGCTCCCCTGCCTGGGAGAGAAGCGCATGTCTTCCAACCCTCTCTGTCCCCTTGTGTTCTGTGTGTGGAAAATCTTAACCCACTCCTTTTCCCCTGGGTTCTCTCGTTGGCTCTTATCCCTGTGGTTGGGTCACTAGTGTGTCTCCATTGCAAAGTCATCCTTGTAAAAACAACAGCGCGAGTGGGAATGTGGAGATGGCTGGAGAGAGCCACAGAGCTGCTGGGACAGATGCCAGGGTCCAACTCTGCTTCTTTAGGAGCCAAGGAGCCCTTCGGCAACCCAAAACCGTCACTGCGGCCATGGTCCCGTGCACGGTGCTGGGCTCTGGAGAATACTTTTGTTCTTTATCATTTCATTGTCTGTAATTGGTTTCCTACTGAATTTGTTTGCTTGGTTTGTTTTGCAGTGTGTTTCTGGGAATATTCTGCATCTCTGTATTTTAATTACAGTAAAATTTGAGGATAAAAACCTTGGTTACACTGGCTCTTGCTTCCAGTGGGGGGAAACGAGGAGAGGAAGCACAGTTGAAGGAAAATGTTAGAGATTCCTTGGGAAATCAGATCTCTCCCCTAAGGGCTCTACATGAGGCACCAAGCAGGGCTGAACCTCTGTCCCTCCTTAAAGTAGGACATGGCTTTCAACCACGATTCAGAAGCCGTTTTGCTGCCGGCACATTTCCTGATCAGAATGGTAAAAACAGTTTGGATAAGACTTTGAAACTCAATTTCTTGTGCTGCTTTAAAGACCAGTGCACGAAAGGACTTTTGGTCTGGGGACAGCTGGCCTAGCCCCAAAAATGGGCTCTCGGCAGCTGAACATGAGAAATTTTGCCTCTCCAGCCGCTGTTCCTTCACACAGGTTTGCATGGCCAGTTCTCCCAGCTGCAGAAGCGAGGAAGAGCCTCCTTCCCCCCGCAGCAGCCTGCCCTTTCTGCAGGAGGAGGCAGTCTGAGACCCCTCCCCAGAGCTGTGGGGCAGCCCCGGGGGGCAGCCAGACCCTCTGCGTTTGCTTGCCAGCTGGCAGGCTGCTGGGGAGGGCACAGCCAGCCACCCTGGCCACCTCGCCTGCTCCACGGGCACTTGCCCAGGGCAGAGCCATCCCACACTCCTGGGGACACACAGTCCTCATGCCCGGCAACTGGGCTGGATCGGGCCCCAGACAGCGCAGAGCCATCCCACACTCCTGGGGACACACAGCCCTCGTGCCCGGCAACTGGGCTGGATCAGGCCCCAGACAGCGCGTCCCTTTTACTGGGGCGAGGCCAGGAGCCACCAGCTCAGCTTTGTTAAGTGCTGTCAAAAGGATTAATTTAGTAACTAATAACGGGGCAATCAAGCCGTTTATTTGGTTGACGTTTTGCTGCCAGCTGCTCAGTAAGAGCAGTGAGCTGTGTGCTGACAGGGCTGGCTGTGGCCACCGCTGTGCCTGCCCCACGCCTCCGTCCTCCCCATGGACACAGCCGGGGCAGCGTGGCTTGGGGGGCACCGAACCAGTGGCAGGAGCAAGTTTGGTGGTGGAGGGGACAGTGCAAAGACTCTCGTCGTTCCTGCCCCTGAGTGAAGGCGCCTGGGTTGGGGGTTCCCCCAGGAGCTGCCCCCATGCCTGCTGTGGGGAGGGGGATGGAGGAAGTGCCCATCCCACAGCCCATGCATGCTGTTGCCCCATTCCTCCCTGTGGGGCTGGAGCTGGCCATGTCACCTTGCAGCCAGCACAGTGAATTAGGGGGGCTCCAGCTGCAAGCCATGAGGAGGGGCCATCACACACATCACCTCTGCTCGGCTTTCCTGCAGCCCAGCTGGAGCAGGTTTGCCACGTTAAGCCAGGCTCCACAATACCCCTACCAACCTCCCCCTCCAGAGGCTGTTAAAGGGGAAAAGGGTGGAGTGTGTCCCAGCTCTCTGTGCAACTACAGCACCCAGTCTCACCCTCTCCCCAGTAAGAGCTCAGAAGCTGATGCACAGCAGACCTTGGAAGACACCTTCAGAGAGGAGACCTGCCCAGGTGGGTGGGCAGGGGGTGGCTCAAAATGGCGGCTGCAGCACTGGGAGCATGTAGCTGTGGGTGGATGTCACCAGCTGTGGCCTTGTCTGTGGGTTCCCATGCTGCCTGGCTCCAGCTCGCGAAGAACTCGTGCATTGCCTGGACCATCTTCTTGTTTGCTCCTTTTCATTCTGGCAGTTTTATGACCAAACTCCACCACTATTCTCTGGTCTTCCGGGGCAGGGCACACCACCGCGGGCATCCACAGCGTCAGGCCTGGCGGGGGGGCACCGAGGGGCAGCCTGGTCCTGTGCTCCCGTGCAGGCCAACGAGCTCTCAGGTCTAAATAACCCCAGGCTCTCACTTTTGGCTTAACTACTGGCATGTTGACACACTCCAGATGCAAACATGAGGATGCCCCAGGAGGTGACTGCAGCTCCCCACTGCCCTGTGGGGTGGCTCCCCCCAGCCTTGCCCCCACCTCTTCCCAGCCAGGTGGGAGCTGGGCAGACCCGGAGATGCTGCTCTTTGCCTCTTGGTGCATCCACCCCAGTTTAGTCACTGAGGTCTTTCAGTTGAAGTCCACCCCCAGGTCAGATTTATTGCACTTTTATTTACAGAAAACACAGAAATAAAGCATTAAATGTGTTGGGCTTTTACCAAACCACCCAATTGTTTCCCCCCCCCCCCCCTTTTTTTTTTCTTTTGTGGGTTTTTGGCACAAAGAAATATCACAGGTGTTACCAAACAACCATGTAGGAGCAGCTGACCAACTGTCCAGCCCAATAACAGGAGTTAAACAAACAGACACGTTGCACCGAGATGGAAAATGAGGAGGTTGTTCCACGCGCAGCTTCCAGTCTAACCTGCTCATCGGGGGCGAGGGGAGTTACTCTGGAAGGGACAACGCCATTCATAAATTATATTTATATCTACCTCTTTACATTGTAAAAGTAAACAGTGCAAAAGTACAGTACCCCAGGTACCCTGCGGTTTTGGAAAGCTTGAAGGTTGCTTTATACATTTTGTGTGTTTTTGTAAACATTGTTACCCATCCACAGTTCTAGCTCCTGCTTGGAGAGACCCCACTCCTCTTGTGTTCGAAACATGTTGAGGGGCAGCATTGCTTCCCCTGGACTCTGTTGAGATTCCCGCTCAAGGATTAGTGCAAATTTTGGGGAGAAAAAGACGAGAGAGAGGGATTTTTTTTGTCTGTCCCCCCCGACAGACAAAATGAAAGAAAATAAAATAAGGCAACAGTTAGAAACAGTCCATATCAAAACCCCGGGGCTGCCTTAGGAGAACGGCAGGAAGGCTCTGTCCTCCCCCAGGCTGGTTGAGAGGGTCTTTAGGCTC